TACCCGATTTTACATGGGAAGAAATTAATGAACGAGTTCAACATGGGGTAGGTCTAATTATTTTGAATTATCAATAAATGCTGCAAAAAAAAAAAAAAAAAAAAATTAATTTTTGTCTTACTTTTGACGCATTATGATACTAAACCTATACGAGTAAAATTTATATTTATTGAATTCCCTTCGCGCTTTTCAAATTAATAGCCTTTTTTTTCTATTTTTCGTATAAATTAAAACAAATCCATTTGTTAAAACTCAATCAATTATGAGACAATAAAAATTGAGTCCAATTACTTTAAAGAGCGCGCTAAGAGAAATTTAAGTATTATAATTTTATTTGCATAGGTTTAGTACCGGCAAGGAACTTTATTATTGGAATTTACGATATATTGTGCGGCATTTTTGTAATTTGTCCGAAGCATCCATTGACAACGTTCAAATAAAAGACTAGCAAAATCAGAATAATTAAGAAATTATCTTTTAACCGTATTTGTTTTTTCATTATTTAGGCTTATTTGGTTGTTTGCGATGGACTTTTAGTAGACATTCGCAGTTTTTGTGATGCCCACCCAGGTCGGTTTTCAATAATGTTGGTTTTCACGTAAATTTTATTTATAACTAATGCTAAATTTATCTTAACACTTGATATAATAGGTGGAAGTAAAGTATTATTGCACGTAAATATCACAATATTGATCTCTAAATTCTGTTCATGTAAATTGATTATTAATCGTTATTACTTTACGGCCTTGTAATTAATGATTTATTATAATAGGCTATTGGGACGGATATTACAAATGGTAAAAATTAATGCAAATATCTGTTTAAGTATACGTTTATTGACTAAACGATAAATAAATACTTTCATTTAGACTTTTATAACACACATGAAAATAAAACTTTCGAAGATACAGATTCTTCAGAAGCTTTATTAATTCCAAAAGACATATCTTCTAAAAAGTACTCGTCTGTGCTTGCAAAACATATTGATCATCTTCAAGGAAAACCAGAACCTCGAACTAAACTGACAGCTGCCAAATTCATCGATAACATTAATGGAAAATTTTATTCTAGAAAACCGTTGGCGCAACACGCTCATAGCAGATTTGCTATGCAACAAATAGTGTCAATGGTTATAGGCAAAGTAAATGAAGAAATGAAGGTGAACGAAAAAGAACATGTGGTCCAAGGTGGTACTTTTCAAACTCTAGATAGCAAACCTGTTGGGATAGACACAAAAAGTATCAAATTTCACCGTTATAGGCTTACGAGCAAAAAAATGATTAATGCAAACGTTGAATATCCTGTGATGAGATTTACATTTTCCAAAATACATCAAGACGAAAAAGATGTTTACTCGGAAAAATTCTTACCTGGACATTACATTGAAGTGCAATCTAGAGTAAATGAACAAATTGTTATTAGAAGCTATACTCCTTTGGAAGGTAGCTTATCCAAGTCATTTACCATTTACGTCAAAATTTATCCAAAAGGACTCTTTTCACAGCATTTGGTATGTGTACAATAACATTCACACTTTCTTTTTTTAATAATAGTTTTATGTTCACACTAGATTTCATTTTTAGAATGAGCAACTAATAGGGTATGAAATTCAAGCACGTGGTCCATTTGATGCTTGTGATAGACTAGCAAAGTCGTTAAATCCTCGTCAGAGCATTTTACTATCCGCAAAGCCTCGCACTCCTTACACTAAACTTACTGGAACGTCATCTACGGAAAAAACTTCTTTATTAAATCCAGATAGCCCGGATGGTTGTTGGGATGAATTATATATGATTGCAGGTACTGATTAAATAAATGTTATACATTGACGTTTATTCTAAAAATGTTTATTACAACCTTTGTTTCACTTTTTTAGGTGGCACCGGAATAGCACCAATGCTACAGGTAATTTAATATTCATATTTTATCAAGCATTCATAGTAATTTGATAATAATTTCTCACATCGATTATATCAGCTAATCAAGTATCATTTGGAATGCTCGATGAAACGAAAATACGATAACAATGAACACAAACGAATGCATTTATTATTTGGGAACCGTAAAATTGAAGATGTTATCGATGGAATGTTCCTTGAAGATCTTGCGCTTTCAAGTCGAGGACAACTAACTATAACATACTGTCTCTCAGAGCCTCCTTCAGATTGGGAAGGTTTGCAAGGAAGAATTAATAAACAAATAATACAAGATTGGATGAATATGATGCAGGGTGTGTTCCTCCAGTTTCCTAGCGAAACTCAGAAGAACATTCTTCATAGTCATTCAATACGTCGGGACGCAAGTGATGATGGTTGGAGTCATTCACCAACGTTAAAGTCACAACCACCATTTATGAAGTCACATGAAATTTTACAAACTTCACTTTTGCCATACGAGTCTATAAGCGTACACACCCCTTCCAGAGAACCAAAAACACCACTCACGCAACCTGATGACCAAAAAGATGAAGATTGTACAAATGTTATGGAACATTACCTAGAACCGAAACCATCATCAAAAAAACCAGCGCTTAGTATTGATACAGATTTAGCAAAGTCGGAAAAAAGTGACAATTTGATACAAGGAAAAATTATTGTTAGTGGTCCAGATGGTATGTTAGTTTCTGTTGAAGAAGATCTACTTGAGATGGGATTTAATGAGCAAAATATGATTATATTGTATTAGACTTTACTGGGAGGATTTATTTATACTTGTTTTGCATATAATAAACTAGTAAGAGTATTAAGTGCCTATAAATTTATTAAAGTTTGTGATTTTATATTCATGAAATCTCAAAAAAATAATTTGAGTAGTATGTTAGATGTATAGATGTAGCTCTATTAAATTTTAACATACAGGTTTAATAAATAATCCATACTTAATCATGTCGTATGAAGAGTTCCAACGTGTTGGACAATCTAAAATAGGTTTAATAAATTTTATATTGCATGAATTACAGATATGGGTGATTATTTTTGAATTCAGACCAATATGTTATTACATCATAGATATAAAATTGGTCCGGGTTTAAAAATAATTACCCATATTTCCAAGAAGCTCCAAATATTGGGGTGACGTGTGAATAGAAGAATTAAGTTCTCGGATCTTATTAGTATTAATAATAGAATAAGATTAATTTTAACACCTTGTTAAAATTATAAATTTTAACCACCCGTTATTTACTATTAATTTTAATTTCAATTTTAAATTAAATTTAGAATTAATATTATAAAAAGAGTTAAAATTTAGAGTTAGGGTTAAAGATAGGCTAGAATAAGGTTTTTTATAGTGCTGAATATTTTTACTTAATGTATCAAATATGGTTATTTAGTCTAGTTTTAAATGGGAGTGGTTATATAACCTGTGGCAAATTAGCAAAACTCTTAATAATAGCAGTAATATTAATAATATTAATACTTAATAATTATATATAATTTATATTTATAATATTTATAAATACCAAGGTAACTTCTTTTATCTTGGGCTGCCTGTGCTGCTAAATTAAGAATATGGTTAAAGTATCAAAACTGGTTTTTTGAATTTCATTTAATATTTAATTTTTTTAATTTAACTTCTAATTCTTGTACAAAAACATTATTATTCATAGCATTGTTGAGAGAATAGCCAGAAACTATTAAAAAAATTAGAATATATAATAATTATGTATAAGATTAAAAAAGCTTATAGATTAGCTTCCTGGAGTTCATTCTTTTGAAATGCTATTTTATCAAAGTCATAATATTGATATTCATATCACTAACAGAATATTATAAGAAAGTTTATTTTATCGACAATTACTTCACTAACAAGTTTTTTAAAAATTGCACAAACATTAACTCTAATTCTAAATTTGATCTGATTAGAATTACTTTATTAGTAAAATAACTGTTGGTGAAATAAACTATTAATAAAATAAACTACTTATAGAATAATTATTGATAAACTAAGTTATCAGAGAAATAATATAGGATTTTTGTTAAAAAAATCACTTTATGACACTTTTCAGTTAGGTTAATTTAAACCAACATACTGATTCTTATTATATATAAATCATTTTTTGTTCTTATTAATTCAATAGCTTATTGAATAAATATTTGAATTAGTAAAGGTAAAAATGATTTATATGCAAATAATTACTAATATATTGGCTTGAATTTATTTAAATTAGTTTAATCAAAAAAATGTGAAGAGTAATTTTTTTAGAAAAGAACCTATATTTTAGTAAAATAGACTTCAGAAAAGTAAGCAACAATAAGTTAAAAATGATAAATACTTTTGATACAATATTATAATTCATTAATACTTTAAAAAACTTATTTGAATATTTGAACTACAATAAATATTTTTTAGTAATTAATTCAAAATCAAGAATTATTTCTTAAAATATTAATATAATGAGCTGTAGCAGAAATAAATGCTTTGTTATTAGGTAATATCCAAAGGTTTTAGGCAAATGAAATTTTGGAATTTATTATTAAAAGGTATATCAATATATTGTAAATTTAAATAAAAAATATCTTTAATAATTGTAAAATTTTATAATGAAATTAAAAGCTAATAAATTTTTATTAATTGTATAAACAACAATTTTTAATTTTTTTATTAGTATTGAACTTTAAATCATTATAATATTTGTTAAATACAGTTAACTCTTTCTGTAATAAACTAATGGTTTTGGAAGAAAAAAGATTTATTATAAAAATTACTATGTTTTCTTAAGAATCTTTAGTACTTTCTATACTAAATTACTATAGAATTTTAAAATTCTAGTTTGCTATATCTAGAATTTATTATAAAGAGGTTCATTATATCCAGAGTTGACTATATATTGGTTTATATAATAAATCTTTATACTATTATATTAAGATTATTTTTTAAAATTTGAATAAGTATATTTCAACTATCTGATTAATTTAAATATTTAGTTATGCTTAAATTCTATTAGTTGATAGTATCTAATATAGATTAAATATTAAAAATAAAATAATATATTAATAAAGTTTTTTTATTCAAAATTTATAATATATAATAGTTATTACAGTTTTTTTCCTCTATAATCATCTTCTATATAATCACAACTTTTATACAATCACATTTTTTTTTCAACTTTGGCAGTCTTACCAGTGATCCTTTATTAAGATTGTCTTGTTATAGGCATGACAAGATACTTTAAGCTTAATATTTAGGCCTGACATCTTGTAGTTACTTCTAAGAGCACTTTCAAGCGACCTGCTACACTAGGCAGATAAATCTACAAGAGACATATCACAGTAAATCCAAAGACCACCTATCTTAGAAAGCCATATTAGACCACTGCCCTACAATAGGATATCGCTAATCTGATGACATCTTCTTGTAGCAAAGTGAAAAAAATAAAAAAATACTAACATTAATACTAATACTAAAAAGAGTGAAAGAGAAAAAATGAAAGTAAAAAAAAATCTGATAGTTACAATTATAAGCCTGTGTTGAGTTAACAAAAATTATATATTACAAAATAAAGAAGCTCTATATCTAACTCTATCCTAATAATATATCTAATCCACTCAAGAAAAAAAAGAAAAAATTTTAGATTTAAACTAGACTAGACAGAGTAGTTAAAAAATAACACCAATAGTTTCGAGATATTGTTTAAACAGTTTCTTTCGGTCAAGACATATTGCCTAATTGTGTTGTCCTTTGGATGTGTTTAGTTGCTTAATCTGGCCATCTATCGATTTGTGTTTATTTAAAAATAAACAACCCATTTTAGGAGAGCCAACCTGTTTTGGGTTAGATAAATAATACCAACTGTTTTGGAAAATTACATGTCAATCATTTGGAGGGGGTAAGCTAAGATGTCTACTTTTTGACAAAATTTTCTCAAAAAAAATAGTGGGCCAATGAAACTTTGTGGGTTCTTTCTTGTAAGTTTTATAGTTGTATAGGGACTATCTCCAGTTTTTTTAATATACTTAGTGTCAACCTAGTCATTTTGTGTTCTTAGAATATTCTTCTGGTTTTGATACTGAATATAATAGAGGAGTTCAGTAACAAGAAAGCTTGACCTCTACAAAAACCATCCAAAGTAGTCCACTCCTCAGTTTTACATTCTTGGTACTTCATTGACAACACATCTACTTGTGTAGGACCAAGTATATTATCACTCTTTGATGTCTTTTATAATGCTGACTGTAGTTAGGATTTTTGAACTTGTTGACAGAGAATCGTTAGAAAGAGTTGATATATCAATAATTTTTTATTAGTAATTTATTAAATTTCTAAAACTATACAAATATTTATTTAAAAAGTGTGCCAACTTAAAATAGTAGTTAAGTTGTCTCTCCAAATAGTAGATCTAGAGTTTAAATCCCAACTATAATGAAATTTAAAAAATAAATCTGTATTATAGCAACTATAGATAAGATTCTAAAGAACTCTAATATAACTCAGATATTACTAACAAAGAAAATTTTGCATAGAAATTCATTGAACATTGTATTTTTATATAGTGAATTTTTAATTTTTAATTCATTTTATATGCCTATTTGGCTGATATTATATAAATGCAGATCTGAGTTGTATCAGAGTTCAGATGTTCTATAGAATAGATAAGCAAACTTTACAAATTCCACTCTACTATTAAAAAAATAATAATTACTAATCATTAGCAAAGTTTATTTCTTATATTGCCTATTTATTCTATAGAATATCCCAGAGTTCTTCAGCATCCTAGTTAGATATTTGTAATGCAGTTGCACTAATTTGATTAATAAATCAGGACATCTGTATTATATAAAAGAATGCAAACTGGTATTAGGCAGTATATTAAAAACTTATTTTACTTTAGTTATAGGCTGGTGGTTATATATTTTGTCAGCATTGCCTTTTGTTATTATTTCTACTTTGTATTTTACTAATAATGACTATACTAGTTTTATACTATATTAAATTCTTAATGTTCTTAAAGGCTGTGGCTTTGTGGTTTTCTTTTTTTCTTTTTTTTAATAGATTGTAGTTCTATTCTTTTCTCTTTGGGATAGAATAAAGCATTTTATTTTCTACTTTTTTGGCATGCTTTCTATTTTAAAACATCTGTCTGCCAATATTCTAAAAATCTTTTTATATATGAATTTGTCTTTTTATACATGAATTTGCTTTTTTAATTAGTGGATACATTATATCTTTTGAATATAGTATAGATATATTTTCTGTTTGTTTTAGTACTTCTGTCTATTTTTTGCAAGAAATCTCTTTGTTTAGATCTTTGAGCCAGTGCTTTAAATTGTTTTAATTAGATTGTACCTTTCTTTTCACTCTGTTAGTAGGTTGTTTGCCTTATACTTAAGGTCTTGTTTTTTTTTTCTGATCAGACTATTATAACTATTTTTTATTAAATTTTTATATCACTTGCTGAGTTTTCTTGTATTTAGTCTTAATTTTTGTCAGTATACTATACTCTTCTGCATTAAACAATAGTGGTATTTTTTTTTTAGTAATAGACTATTATATTATATCTTACATTTGGTTTATATATAATTTTTTGAAGTTAGTAGCTGTTTGGATAGCTTTTTTCCTGTGTTTTCTTATTGTATCTTGTATATTTAATTTATTTTTTTGTAAAACACTTGTAATATATTTTTATACTTCTTCTTTTAACTTTGTTTTATAACTTTCTTAGTTCTTTTTATTAGCTTTGTTAAAAT